TAATGATAAATAATAAATAAACCATGCTGCATATTAATATATAGACATGATGCCATTACTATTACACATGTCTTTTATTTTCTGGTATTTACTATTACGGTATTTGCGGTATTTACGGTTTTACGGTTTTACGGTTTTACGGTTTTACGGTTTTACGTTATTTACGGCAAATAATACGGCACATGCCGTAACTATAACCGTATTATTTCTGTTTGGGAATTCCGACGACAAGTATAATATGTCCATATATCAAAATGAAACAACTCCGTCTTGCTACCACTAAATGGATTGTGCTTGATTCTTTACTTTTAATGTCCTTCAAGGAAAAGGACTCAAAAACTAATGCCAGTTTTTTAAACAGAAAGGCTAAATACAATGGCTTAAAGTAATTCTAGTGATTGAAGGCTTTTCATTGGAAAAAAAGGATGTTAAACAAATAATTAAATTTGAACGGCCTTATTAATAGAAAATTCATTTTACTACAATATGCGTGCAACTATTTTTCAAGTAACATTTGAAGCATTTTCTCCCAATATGCAAGAATGAATGCATGAAAAATTGTGTATTCAGTATCCATCGCCTATTTTATCTGACAACAGTGTTAATATTTTATACACTTATGCGAAAAATTAAAAAATTTGCAAGAATTCAAATATACAAATAATTTGAATCAATTATAATTAACATTGTTCTTATCACTGTCAAAGTTCAAGTTATTTAAATACTGTAATTCATGCACAAGCCATCTTTGATCCCGACATCTAAATCCATTGTTTTCAATAATTAATCTGTTACGCTCAACTTGAAAAATCTCTGACCTGACTTCTTTTAATAGTTGACCTAATCTATTTAATCCCTCACCATTCCCACCATCTCCCCAATACCTATCATTCGATGTATGTTCTATTATCTCAGCACCACACGTAGAAAGTAATTTAAATCGTAAATAGTGAAATTGTGAAAATTTACACTTTAATGCTTTTTTCATAATTAACTCTTTGAATATCTTCCTGTCTTCTGACACCACCGATTCCCAATTTGCTCTTTTCTCTTTATCATATGATCTAGCAATTGAAAATGCTTCTCTTGCTGATTTTGCATATTGAATTTTTTTACGAATTGTTGAATTTTCAAATTTTGATGATTGAACTATCAATCCATTGATAAATATTATATTATTAATATTATATTTTGAGAAAGACATAGAAATATCTAAAAAACCACTTACAATAATGTTCAGTAGTTGGCCAATCTGCACCATCTATCGATATTTTCTTTATTGGATTATAAAAATTAGTAAACTCATAATAAAGTTCGTCCCTATTATAAAATTTGATTACTCCTTTTCCTGATCTGCTATAATATTCATACTTTATCACAAGGAAAAAATAAATAAATGAATATTAATATTAATGCGAGCAAGAATGCATTAATTCTAATTATTCCTTACTTACCAAATGGTCCATAAGTAAAATAAAAGCATCCTTCATCGTTTCTCTATGAGCCAATAACAACGTAGCCCTGGCCCCTCGAAGTTCACGTTGGGTATAAGCTAAACTTGATTCGGTAACTTCTCTTATCACGATAATATCTATTGTATGAATATCACAAATATTGCGAATGCTTTTTATAAATCCTGTTAAAGAGACCATTCTCATTTCTCTGGGGTCCACATTTAAAATCACCACAATTCCGAATTGGTTTATCCAACAATTCAACGAACAATCTAGAATAAATTGTACAAGATTTCGAAATTCTGTTTCAAAATAATATCCTGCATTTTTATCAAATGCATCATATATGAATTCATGTAAGACAAATCCATCATAATCCTCTTGCCTCATGTCAAAATATTTGCTAGTATTTTTATTTCCAAGTATTATATTGAGTGCTAAGAATTTTGGAGACCGATTGGGTTTTAATTGATTTTTTCTTGAATTTATAATTGTAGAGTTACTATTTGAATATTCATTGTTAAGATAATTACGAGTGGCTTTTCTATTATTTGACAAATATTGATTTGAATTATTGGAATCACTAGAATTACTATTATTATGATTATTATAGAAATTATGATCACGAGGTTTGGATGATGAATTTCCGGCTTGATTTTGATCTTTATTTCGTTTTGTTTGATTTGATTGGTTTTGGCTTTGATTTCGATTTAATTGTTCCCCTTTTCTCTTCCTCTTCCGCCTTCCCTTTCCTTTCTTTCCCCCATTTTTCTCTCTCTCTTTTTCCTTTTCCTTCTCCCTCCCATTCTCTTCTTTTCCCTTCTCTTCTTTCTTTTTTTCCTTATCCTTCTCTTTATTTTTCTTTTTATTTTTCTCTTCCTCCCCACCCTTCTCTTTTTCACGAATCATTTCTTCATGTTCTGATTTGGATTCAATTTGGTACTGCCCAGGCATATCATAACGATGCTGATCCATACAAATTTCAGTTTTTTCAATGACAATATCATCACCATCGTTGTTGTTGCCAACTTGCTGCAACTTATCCTTATTCTTATTCTTTTTCTCTTCCTCCCCACCCTTCTCTTTTTCACGAATCATTTCTTCATGTTCTGATTTGGATTCAATTGGGTATTGCCCAGGCATATCACAACGATGCTGATCCATACAAATTTCTGTTTTTTCAATGACAATATCATCACCATCGTTGTTGTTGCCAACTTGCTGCAATTTATTCTTATTCTTATTATTGTTATTGTTATTGTTATTATTATTATATTCTTTATAATTACTATCATTATTACCATATTTATCATTATTTGTAGCAGCAAATTTTCCATTTTCTTTACCTGATCGTAACCCATCATTATCACCAAAAATAATATGTTGATTGTTGATTTGGTTTCTTGGATAAAATTTATCAAAATCATTCATTAAAATTTCAAGTTGACATCTATCATCGATAATAATATCAACCACATCATTATAACAATGATTGTGATTTTTATATTTTTTATTCTTTCCGTATTCAACAACTTCCCGGTAACCATCGCAACCTTCATATGAAGAATCATTTATAATCTCCATAATTATTATATCAAGAAATTTATTTTTATTTAATTAAAAAATAAAATTTTATTAAATAAAAAAAAATTAATTTATTTTATCTATTTTTTTTAATGATGGATGATGTAAGCATTGTAATTACAATCATAAAAATTATTATTATTTTATTTCAATTCCAACTCAGCTCTAATCTTTTCCTAAATAATCTAAGTGTTAACATATTTTGGACCATTTCCACCTTCAGGAGTAACCCAATCTATATTCTGTGACACATCTTTAATATCACATGTTTTACAATGCACGCAATTTTGTGAATTTATTTGTAGTCGTTTTTTTGTATCCGAATCCGTTTCATCATCAACAAATTCATACACTCCAGCTATAAACACATATGTGTGCGTGTGATTGGATAAAATGTTAATCAAATGTAGACATCATGACTAATAAATCAACTATTCAAAAAAAATATGCATTTGCCTGGACAAAATCTTCCTTCTGGACCATCAAATATCTTTAGATTTCTTTCAACCAGTACTTTCTCATCTCTCAATCTTAAACGCACAGGTTGGTTTTCTGAATGATTGGTTCCACTCCTTGACACACTTTCCAGAAGATCAAAAGTTATCTTACCATCAGGTTTAGGATATTCTATTGGCTTGCACTCTCTATATAATTAGAGATATAATTGTGCAATCATATCAATTAGAATATTGTCATTATTATTGTTATTATTACTATTATTACTATTATTACACGTACTTTGCAGGTTTCAAAGAAGCCCAATCATCATGATGTTTAAATGTCCACGGCACTCTTCCTTTTAAAAATAATGTATCCAATCCTGAATATGCTATGAAACCCCATAATCCAAATGGGTTATTAATTGAGGGTCTCACATTTCTCACTTCATACAATTCCTTATAAATCCATGAATTCTCAATTGACTTCTCATACTCGTCAAGGATTATTGGATCGGAACTAGAATTGCCAGTTTCTGATTTAGATGCCAATGCTTTATATGCTGCTTCTCCTGCAAGCATTCCTGACTTCATTGCAGTATGAGTTCCCTTGACCTTTGGGACATTCATAAATCCGGCCGTACATCCTATCAATGCTCCGCCAGGGAATACTAATTTAGGAATTGACTAATAATTTAATCATAATTAATTGATTGATTGATTGATGAATATCATCGTTATTACTGATTATTATTATTATTATTATTATTATGGTACCTGATATCCGCCTTCATTTAATGCTCTAGCTCCATAACATGTAACCTTTCCACCTTCAAGAAACTTTCTTATATACGGATGAAGTTTATATCTCTAATATTTATAGTAAATAAATATTTAAATATTTTTAATTAATAAACAGTAAAATAACAAAATATTTTTAATTGGTAAATATTAATTATCCGGTCACAAATTTATGTTTACCTGAAATTCTTTGTATGGATTTAAATATGGATTCTGATAGTCTAATCCTACCACATATCCAACTTGGACAATATTATTTTCCATGTGATACATAAATCCACCACCATAAGTTTTATAATCCATTGGATATCCTATAGTATGCACCACCAATCCAGGTCGATGCTTGGCTGGATCTATTTCCCAAACTTCCTTTATCCCAATTCCATAGGTTTGTGGCTGCTTTCCTTCGCGAAGGTTGAATTTGTTTATTAATGTCTTGGTAAGTGATCCATGACATCCTTCAGCAAACAGTGTAACTTTAGAATGGAATTCCATCCCTCGCTCAAAATTGCTTTTTGGTTTGAAATTTTTGTCTAATCCCATATCATTTGTTGCTACTCCACGCACACTTCCATCCTGATTATACAATACCTATAAATCACACGATGTAAATGTGTAAGAGAGCGAGTGAGTTCATGTGTGAAAATACATGCACAAGTGTATTAATGCTTCACATGCAATTACCTCACTGCCAGCAAAGTTAGAATAGATCTCTACATTTTCAGCTTCTGCTTGATCACCTAACCATTGAACAAAATTATTTAGACTGATAACATAATTGCCTTTATTACTGGATTGTGGTGGATGTGGAAATATTGGAATTGCCAAATTTTTTGTTAGAAATTTTAAATGATCTTCCTTTGCTTCCTGATTTAACGGTGCCCCTTTCTCCTTCCAATCAGGAATCAATTCATTTAATGCACGTGGTTCAATAACCGCTCCCGAAAGTGTATGTGCGCCTAATAGGTTAATTAATTATTTACAGTGATTATATAATTCCATTCTAGCAATCAAATATGATGTCAAGGCATACAAACCAATTTGACTTGCTTTCTCCAATACCACAACACGAACTTCTTTACCCTCAGCTTTTGCCAGCTGTTTAATACGTATTGCTGCTGATAAACCTGATGGGCCACCACCCACAATAACAACATCTGTTTCGTCTGCAAATCTTTCTTCTGTCAATCGAGGATCAACTCCATTTTCATTTTCTGCTATCGATGCAAAACTACGTCCTCTTGTTGCTAACGATGATATAAATGTTGAGGTGAATGTTGAGGAGGGGGAGGAAGATAGGTATCTTGTTTTCTTAAGTAAGCTTAACGACGTTCTTGGTTTTATGAAATTGAAATATTTGTAATAATTATATAAAGATGCCATTATTATTATTAAGGTTTTTTTGTTGGTATAATAAATATAAATAAAACTAAATTGAATTGATAATCTATTATTATTGTATAATCTAATGTAATACAAATAACGCAAATTAAATTTTCTTATTTTTATATTTTTTTCAAAGCAACAACAATAAAAAATCATGGGATTCTATGAATTACTTTGTATAACAAGAACCGGATTATCTCATGTAAAAATAAAGACAATGTATCTCTCATTCCTCAAAGATAAATTTATAACTAATTTTTTCTTTTTTTTTTCTTTTTTCTTTCTTTCTGTCATTCTGTCTTTTTTTATTTTTTTTTTTACACACCCGTATAAACAAATAAATTGAAAAAGGCAGATTTTACAAATCTTGTAAAAATTACAGCAACACATATACTTGAACGTGGTGGTGTAGTAAGAGGTTTTGAGAATTGGGGAGTTTTGCCTCTGCCAACTAAAACACGCAGGCACCAAGTGTATCATACAAATGGACAGTAAGTGTATCAGTGTATCATTAGGATTGCATTAGTGATGGTGATAATAGAAGTGTACTATTAATGTTATCAATGCATGCACATTTTCTAATATTTACCAAATATTCATCTTTCAACAATTTCAGGTTTTGGTTGATGCATTTTGATACTAATCCAGTGGTATTGCATGAATTAAGAAGAAAATTAAATATTGATACACGTGTAATTAGAGGAAATCTTGTTAAACTTGGTGAAAAACTTGAAGATATTATTGAGAGACCTGATAAAACAAAATAACATGTATGCTTTCAGCCAATCAAAAATATCACGTGAATACAAATAAATATTCAAAAAATTTTGAAAATCAAAATAAAAATAATTTATTTAATTGTAATCTATAATAATGTCTAATACTTCTTTTATTCCTTCGTCCTTATACCGTAATAAAAATACATCCAAGTTATTAAAAACTTCAAATACATTTACTTCAACGAACCGAGTCTCTTCTTCTACCACTTTGGTAACAAATCCACCATTGTCTTTAGCAGCATCAAAGTTGAATAAAGATACAACTTTTCTTTACAAGAAAGCTGTAAAATTAATTGAATTCTACTTGTCGGATTATTTTCTACTGATAAATGATCAGTTCAGAAATTACATTGAAAAGAACAAAAATGGTAAACAAAAAAAATTTTAAAATTATTTCGTATGTATATGTTTTGTAGTTGTAAAAGATATTATTAATTTTATTATCGTTATTTTTATTTTTAGGGATTGAATTGAAAGAATTGTTGAAATTTAAGGATTTAAATATTTTAGTAAATAAAGATTTAAATATAATTAAAAAATCTATTGCTTTGTATGGAAATAATTCTTTGATTTTCGAGGTAATTATATAATAATAAAACTCTTAATTGTATATAAGTTATTAATTATAATAATTTTTGTTTAGTTGATGGAGGATAAAGATCATATTAGATATAAAAATTCATTTGATCATAATAATCATAATGATACTAATATTATCACAAAAGAACAACTTGATGAAAAGGCAATTTATGTTGTATGTTTATTTCATATTATTAAATTTATCCATTATCTATCCATTATTTACTTTCTAATCTTGATTTATTATTCAGGAAGGTCTAATTCATCCATATGATGACCCATTAATTATATCACAATTATTTGATAAATACGCTACTAGTAGTGGTGGTGGCAGTGATGATGGTGTTGGTGTGACTTTTATTGAATTTCCTTTATTAAAAGATGACGAATCAAGAAGATTTAGAGGATTTTGTTTTGTCTATTTCAATAACAAACACAGTGTATCAAAAGTAATTGAAATGCTTGGGCATAATAATAATAATAATAATAATAATAATAATAATAATAATAGTAACAATAAGATAGAAGGAGATGAAAAGATGGATCTTGGAGAAGATGGTGGAGCAAATGATGTAAATGGAAAGATGGGAAATGGAGGAGCTGATAATGATTATAATCTAGAAGATCTTAAATTACATATAATTCCAAAGTATGTAAAATAATAACTTTCATTTATATTATATTGCAATACATTACATTAGTGTCATTCATTCATTCGTTCATTCACTTTCCTGAAAACCCAAGAATTAAATGGAACAGATTAAGAGATGAATATCTCAACTTATTACAAAATGCTCAAGAAAAAATACCACATCGTATTCTTTATGCTGAAAATATTCCATCAGATTGGAACAAATCACAATTATTGGTAATTAACCTACCTAGTCAATTAATAAAAAATTAATTAGTAACTGTTTTTATTTTGTTGCAAAATTTATTAACTATTAATTTCTCTTATGAATTATTATATTCTTTTAAAAAAGAATTATTTAAACCAATTTGGTGATGTTGAAATGATATTATATGAAACTGGAAGTTCTTGTGTATGCAAGAAAAAAATTTTATTATTATTACAATTACTTCAATAATAACAACACAATAGTAATATATATATATATATTCCTTTTTTTATCAAGTGTTATATTCAAACAAGTAGCGGACAAACAGCTACTAAAATATTAGATGCGATAACTTCTGACAATAATGTTAATGAAAATTTAAAAATTCGTGTTGTAAAAGGTAATTAAAGATTTTTAATTTTTGCTATTGTAATAGTTGTTTAAATAGCTATTATTTTAATGTGTCACAATTATTTATCCTTTTGTTTTCTTTTACAGAAAAAGAAGAAGAAAGATTTTGGCTATGTAGACGAACAAACAATTCACTTGAATTTATGATACAAAAAAAACAAGATAATGAACAAGAAGATGATGAGGATGGAAAAAATAAAAGAGATGAAAATAAAGATGATAAATTATCATCGTCATCACAACAATTACTTTGGCCTGGATCATTACAACCACTAAAAAAGAAGACTATTAATCGTGGTTTAATACAAAAATTTTGGAAACGTGAAATTGTTATTACAAATGATAATGGTATTGTAGATGGTGGTGGTGATGATGATGATGATGGTGATGATGATGAGGGCTATGAATAAGCTGATGAATAATTAATGTTGTGAAGATGCTGGCGACAATTGAAAGTGAAGAGATCATAAAGAAAGTCATGATAATTACAACTGCAATTATAATAATAATAATAATAATGAAAACGATACAGACGTTTTTCTGAAAGAAAGGGAATCCCTTTTGTTTGTTTTTTATGTTTCTAGTATTGTACATAATAATATGGCAACTAACTTGAAAAAGTGATCATTTTTAATAAAAAATTCTAATTTTAGTAGAATTATCAGAGTTTGGATAATTTTGATTGACTTTTATGACTTGTTATATATTATATGAGGCATAGTAGCAATAAATCCAACAGCAAATCTTACATAAGGACTACGTAGTGTTTTGCTTATTCCATATATATACAAGCAGCAGAAGTTTCAAATAAATAGATTTATTTTATAATTAATTATTGGGGGAAAAGTAATAGTTTTATTTGAAAGAATTATACTTGAGCACACGGTTTCAGGTGTGCTGATTCTTTGATGATTACAATAATCATTCATTATCCCATGTGTAACCTCATTTATTTTCAATTTTACCTACTAAATATCACTTTTATAATAAAAAAATTCAAGTTTTTGAAATCAAAAATTGGAATTGAAATTCTTTGTAATTTATTCAGCATGACAAACAATAACGGATAATAATTCTGCTCGAAAACAACGAAAAAAGGCCTGGAAGACACTAATAAAAGTAACGGAAAATTTCCAGGAAAATATGACGCAAATAATTCATTTGATAAGTGTTTATTCACGTTACCAAATTAAGAAAGATTTACAGGATAAACTTGATTTTTGATTTGTAAACCTGAATTATAATAGAGGTTTAAACCGGTTTTATTTTCAAGAACCGGTTTTACTCATTTTTTCAAAAATCAGAACCGGTTTTAACTGGGTACCAACGAAGCTATAATAATAAAAGAGCAAAACGGGTTTCAATTGGTAAACTGATAATATCCATCCAATTCATAAGTTTTAATTTTGTGGGAGAGCAGTTAATGGTTTATAGTTTTGGATTAATAGGATTATTTGTTTTCCAAGTTGAAACTTGTTATTATTTACCTTATTCAAGACAAAGTTGTTTTTACAACTTTAGGAATTCGAGTTGTTTATATACATACATGTCCATTAATTATAGTGCAATAATAATTAAATACAACATTTAAAAATGTAAACATGTTGATATGGAGCCATCTTTAAACGCAATGTTATTACACTCTCACCACTTACCTCATGATGCTATTGCTACATAATATAATAATAGTATGTACAATCAAACCTCACTTCATAGAATCTTGTTTCAACGAATTATAACTAAATTCGCGTCATAATAACGAATTTGCCTCGCATATAAAATTCGTTGAAACGCGCGATTGGTGATTTTAATTTGGTATAATATAATAACAAATTTTAAATGCTAATTTTCTTGTGCGTCTCGTAGATTCATTGGAACGAGATTTGATTGTATAGTAATAAAAATAAACGTAATAATAACACGAAGTTTTGTGAATAAACGTACAAAGCTTAGATCAATCAATTCAAAAATTCTTTTATTATATACTAAAACAAACAAAAATTAAAGATCTTTAGGCGGAAACAAATTGAAATGTTCGTTATTTCTTTTTAAAATAAAATTCAGTTTAATCTAAGCCGTGTAAGATAAATTTCTTAGTTAGCTGATGCATAGATTATTATTTACAGAAAAGAATAGTTGGCCAAGCCATTCAAAAATTTCTTAATATTAATATCAAACGGGTTCAACCGGTTTTAAAATTCGGTTGCCCGAAATAGAAACATTCAAGATTATTTTTGAAACTAATAAATACTAAACTATGTATGATTTCAAAAAAGACTGTCGAATAAATTAGAAGAATGAAAAATTTAGTACCAAAAAAATTTCATTTTTTAAATTTATCTTCCAAGAAATTTATTGCAATACAGTATTTATTAAAGAATGTAAAATAAAAAAAAGACGCGCAAATATATATCAAAAAATTATTATATAAAATTCGCGATTATTTTACATGATCAGAATTTTCGTAATTTAGTAATAGTAATGGTAATGTATTTTTTTTTTAAAGAACTGGGGTTTTGGTTTATTTTTGATAAATCCGATTGAAATCATAACAATCGGATTTATTTCGACCAATTTGTTTGAAAAACTTGGGGTCGAAAGTCAAAGGCTGGTGGTTTGTGTATATCGGATATATAGTAAAATTATTTTCCTGGTCCTCAAAAATTTTCCGCTATTAGTATTTCTCAACATAAAAATAATAAAAAAAAAGCATCAAAATCTTTTGGAGCCATCGAATATGAAAGATACCATCATGACCATAATACAAATCGTCACAGTCATCACAGCAGTCATAATCATCTTTGGATGGTATGAATCACGTGAACAATCAACACGAGATTGGAACAGTGATAATGAAATTATAGATAAATTGATTAAAGATACACAACTCAAAGCAGCTTACAATAATGATAAATATCTTCAATGGATTCAATATCAGAAGTTAAAAAACATTGAGAAGATATTTGAAGGTGGATTTGCAACTATATACAAAGCTACTTGGGTAGATTGTGGTATATCTGTTGCATTAAAAAAATTAGATAATTTGAAAAGTATTTCTGATGAATTTTTAAATGAGGTAATATTTATTTTTATTTGTTGTTATCACATAATTATATAAAGTTGGTATCTGCAATTAAGAAGCTAGATTGTGACCAGTTGCAGAGTTTAGAACATAATAGCTGTAATATAAGGGTTTGCAGCCAGTTGCAGACACCAACTTTAAATTCATTATTATTTCTAAATTAAATATTTATTTTATTTATTTTATCATCAGTTCAAGAATTATATAAAATTTCACAGATTTACTGAGATAATTGATATTTATGGAGTAACACAAGACCCAACAACAAACCAATATATATTTGTAATGAGATTTATGCAAGAAGGAAGTCTTTGTAATTATTTAACAAAAAATTTTAAAAATTTAAAATGGAAACATAAAATTAAAACCCTTCAACAAATTATTAAGGGTTTAAAAGATATTCATGAAGAAGAAATTATTCATCGTGATCTTCATAGTGGTAATATTCTTCAAGATGATTTTACATGTATTACTGACTTGGGATTATCAATTCCAGCTGATCAAGCTTTAACATCGAATAAAAACAATATATTTGGAGTATTACCATTTGTAGCACCAGAAGTGTTAAATAATAAACCATACACAAAGGCATCAGATATATACAGTTTTGGTGCTCTAATGTCAGTAGTGTCAACAAGTCAACAACCTTTTAGTAATGTCCCACATGATATAGATCTTGCAATCAAGATATGTGAAGGAGTAAGGCCCGGCTTCTCCAATAATACACCAAAAGTTTATATTGAATTAGCTCATAAATGTATGGATGCTGATCCAAATAAACGCCCAACTGCAAAAAAAATTAAAGAAACTATTGATCTTTGGAATGATTCATTTAATGATGATTATGAGAATTGTAAAGAGCGGCTCAATGAAATGATATCAATTCGAAAAGAGTTTGATGAAATGGACGAGTTTACATTTGATCCTTCAACAATTATTACAGCAACAGTGCATCCTAATGCTGTTTATACAAGTAGATTATTGAAGTTTACAAATCTTCCACAGCCACTGAATTCAAACAATATCAGTAATAGAAATGGTAGAAATGGTAATTATTAATCTATTGATTTGATCATTGATGTGTTGATTATTTTATCAACTATATACTAACATTCTACAATCAATATTATCTAGATTCAAAACAAATGTATTTGGACATTTAGACACAATAATATGTAAATGATGAAACATTTTGTCGATCGTCAAACAAGATAATGTTTATTATTATTATGTTTGTTAACCAATGAATTTTTTTTATTATTTAATTAAAAAATTAAAAAATTACTATTATTATTATTATTATATTATTTACTTATTAATATTTATAAAGAAAAAAAGGAACTATTTTTAAAAAAAACATTTATTTAACAATTTTCTAATAATTCATTATAATAATAATAATTCATTCATTTATTTATATTTAAACAATGATTGATGTGTCCGATTTTATCGAGTAAATGATATTCATACAAATCCCAAAATAACCAATTGGATTTTTTAAGCCACAAAATAAAATAAATAATAAATCCTAAAATTTCTCTAAAAAAAAAATTTCTTTTTTTCTTCTTTTTTTAATATATTTATGAGATAAACCAGCATCAGCAATAACAACAACAACAACAATAATAAAGCGGTATTAATAGCAATATTAAATATAGTAAACAGTAGAAATGAATTTAGTAAAGTCTTTTAATTATTTTATAATATTCACACAAGCATTATTATTACAATCAAATTATCATGTAGAATCACATCGAAATCATAATCGCAAAAATAATCATCATCATCATCATAAACATTTTAATTCACATCTTCATTTTCATCCAATAAAAGATTTTTCATCTTTAAATCCAGAATCAATTCCAATTAACGATAGCTATAATTTTGGATGTATACTTGGATTATCCATGGTTATTTTATTTTATTTTGGTATCTCGCTATTCATCATACGACATTATTATATAAGAAGACAATTACGTAGGAATGGTACGATCATTGTCACTACTAGTAATAGAATTGATCCGGAACTTGGCGGGCATAAAAGACGAGATAGTAATGAAACTGTTGTAAATGCATTCACTAGAGATTATAGTGGTGACGAAGAGTCGACAAAATCATTATTAAGTCAATAGATTATCAATAGGTTTATTTTTTTACTATGTAAATTATATTTTAAATTTTTCTTTTTGTATTTATGTTTATTGTATTTTATTATTATAATTATCATTGCAATGCAATGTTGTTGTTTAACAAATAAATTATTTAAATATTTTTTATTTACTGAATTAGTGAGTCAAAAAATGAAATGTTGTTTTAAGAGTAAGCTCAATTCTATATATCGATTTTAAGCTTTATAACACCTGATTATTACGTATGATTTGTCACAAAGAACATGTATAGCTTAGAGGCAATACCCTTTTTGTATATTTTTCTTTAAATAAGCTACTCGAATTTGTCAAAACACGATTTTCAATGTTTGGTATCTGATACAGTGAATTCTTGTTTCAACGAATTTTTGAATGAAATTTTCTTACATATCCAGCCAGTCACCCACTTCATTGTAACAAGGTTATATACCATTACTATGTGTTTTATTTATTTAAAAAGAAAAAAATTTTTTTTTGTCATGTTACTGGTTTAGGAGATAATACTAATCAGAGCTGGGAATAGTACTTTAAAAATCCGGAAAATTTTTAGCATTCAATACTATTATAATTTGCTTAGTTCCATACATTTTCCGTACATTTTCCGTATTGCATTACATTGATAAATTTCAGATTAAATAGATTAAATACGTCCATTCCATATCTAAAAATTTATTCCGTATCAAGTACAGGGGAAATTCTTATACATTCCGTATGTTTATTTTCTATTAGGGCACCAATACCAATTAACATCGATGGACCACCCAAGACAAATAAATGTGTGCCAGGTGCAATTCTTTTCTTATGAATATGCATTGGTATAATGCTACCTAAACCACCAGCAATCATTATAGGTTTATGGTATCCACGAATTTCTTTCTCATTAACAAGGATCTCAATATCACCATTCTCATTGTTAACTTTTGGAATTTCTTGAGCAAAAGTACAAAAATATCCTGTAATGTTTGGACTACCATATTCATTGTTAAATGAAGCATCTCCAAATGGGGCCTCAATTATGATATTTAATGCAGGCAATCGGTCGCGTTTACTTCGTCGAAAATTATTCGACGATCATTTCGTCGACACCCATTTCATCCTCGAACCAGGTACCGAACGAGTTGTATGTGAAGAGTGTGGGAAGTTAGTTAAGAAATTAGTTAAGGAAAGGGAAGTGTGAGGAGAAATTTGTTTAATGAAGTTTTTTTTTGTGACGAAATAATTTTCGACGAAATGAACATTCGACGAAATGAACTTTTGATGAAGCAAACTTTCGACGAAATGAATGAATCAGACCCATTGGAATTACTCAATGTTTGAAAGAAGCTTCATTAGATGGTTGGATAAAGTGGACATGAATTGCAGTTATCGAATCAATTAAGGGAAGCTTGGTTTGTATGTTTTTTAAAAGTTGTGAAGATTTAAATGAAGAAAGAAGAAGATTTACAGGTAAAATAAGCATTTTTATTTTTATTTTTTTAGATCTTGACTGATAATCAATCATTGATCAAAAAAAGTTCCGAATGATATGTGTATATTATTATTAGTCAAACAATTTGTCACATTAAATGATTGGGAAGTGTATTTTCCAAAATTTTTTGGCCACAAACCTTGCACCTAATTTGGACATTTTCCAAAAGGCAAATCCTTTATCCATGGAATAACAATGGATAAAGCTTCTGCCTTTCAGGGTGTATGGCATGGATATATATCTCTGATGTTGATCTCTGGGATTTTGTTTGGATAACTCATTCTATGATCAACAAACTCATGGGTAGGATAATTATAATATATCCCTCTACAGGCAAAACCTTTATCCATGATGACAAATGGATAAAGGTTTTGCCTGTTCAGAAAATGTCTGAATTACCTGAAACCTTAACCCTTTTTGCTCACCAATCTCCACCAAATTTGAGACACAGATTTTTCTGGACTTTAGAAAAAAATTAGGAGAGGTTATTAATAAAGTAGAAAAAAATCTTGGTGTTAGTTTATCAACCAAATTACCACATTTGGAAATTAATCGTCTATTTTTGGTCATTACTCCTGATAATCTCTTACCCACATTTTTTCCTTTAATAAATTTAGTTTGACATAGAGAATCTCTATTAATATGAGAGAGGGCTCGTTAGAAAGCTATAATGTTTTTGATTAATAATGATGTTTGAATTTGTTATATATAAAAATAATGAGATATTTTGAAAACCTGATTTGTTACACGAGCCAGATTTTCTATTATGGTTAATCTTTGCTCAATTTAGAAAGGTCAAAATATGATTGGGCAAAAGAAGTAGTATGTATATGCTCCCAAAATACGAAATAGTAGTAGTAATATAACAATTGGCATTAGTATGGCATTATCAAATAAGAATGCTGATAATACTGACGAGTTATCGCCAAGAACTCCAAAAAAAAATTCACAACTTTGTAATGGAATATCAACAAGTGGTAAACATTGTAAACGTCTTGTTGCAAATGGAGAGTATTGTGGTTATCATAAAACAAACAGCATTTTAGAAGATATTGGAATAAAACATAACTATACAATGCTCAAAAAAACCAACTTACTTGTTGAGTTGTCGTCATCTGAAAGGATAACAAGTGACAGTTTATCAAACAATTCATTAGTTGACTGTGAAAATAAAGATGTTGCTAGTTCATTAAAAATTGGTTTAAAGACGTCAACAATTCAGTCAATAGATAATCCTAGTAGTGATAATAATGGCAATTATAAAGATAAAAATAAAAATAGTGATAATAGTAATAATATCAAAAAGAATAAAGAAAGTAATAAAGATCGCATTAATAAAAAAATCCTGGATAAATGTGATTTAATAGGAGATTCAGTGGATTCTATTGACGACGATTATATATTTGCGCCAATCGAAAGTCCACCAAATGATATTTCAGAAAGTCCAATAGTTTTGGGTGATGATAACAAAAAATTAGAAAAAAAGAAAGACAAATACGATGAAGTTGATTGGTTTAAAACATCATCTCTTAATAATACCAAATATTACAATAGCTCATTTTATAAGTCATTAAAATCTGCTGTTACGCTTGAAGAAAATCACATTGATTCTATTGTGGATAAATTTAATACTCTCTACATTGATGAAAAAAATAATTTGAATTATAATGTTATTGACAAAGAATTTGCTGAATCGATTTCACCGTATGATTTAACACCAAAAAAAAATGGTATATTAGAGACTAAAACCTTTACTTCATACAAAAAGACACCTTCATCACACGAAAAACCAAAAAGATCGACACTTGTTGATGATAATTTTGACGATGCTAAATCACCTAGTACATACGTCACACCTACTAGGTTTACATCCCTATTCGTTAATTTTGATCAGATTGAAGATGATTTATTATCCAGCTGTTCTCCTTCAAAATCACCAAAAAACTTTCAATGTAATGGTTACACTCAAAATGGTAAAAAATGCAAAAATAAAATCAAAGCTTCACAATACTATTGTTATAACCATAAACCCGAAAAAAGTAAAATAGATTTAGAAAATTTATTTATACCAACCAATGATACAAACGGTATTTGGATTAGAACTGATGGTATTGTGTCATAATGTTTGTGGGGTTTTTTTTTGTTGTGTTTGCTTTTAAAATGAATTGTTTTTTTTTTTTTTTTTAAAGTAAAGAATTATTAATTAATAAATGAAAGATTTAATAAAATTTATTGGTAGGTTATATTAATAAGGATTTATCACATAATACTAAGAATTCTTTACGGCTGGAAATGGAAAAAAAGATATCTATTAGTGATGAGGCTGGCTATATATATATATATCGAGTTATCGAAGGTATTCATTAATAGACACGCTTGTATGTAGATTTTTGTCAATTAATTTGTTAGTTTATTGATTAGTTGGATCGTTATTTCAATTAGTATCATCACACTCTACTCAAAATTGTATATATTATAAAGTTGGTCGAACTAAGAATATAATTAGACGAATGAATGAATGGAAAAATCAGTGCAAGTACAAACTTCAACTTATAGATTGGTTTCCAAGTACTGGTGGTTTGTTAATATCACAAAAAACAGAAAACGCAGATGAAATCAATGGCAATAACGAGCACAAAGATTTAGAAAGACAAAAAATTATGAAATCATGTAAATTTACACATCGTGCTGAACGATTGATTCATCTAGAGTTATCAGAGAAATTTAAAGCTGAGTCATCAAAATGTTTATTTTGTGAGAAAATTCATCGTGAAATATTTAAAATTGATATCACATCTGTAGTAGAAACAACAGAAACAAAAGTAAAAACAGCGGAAACAGCCTTAATTAAAGATGATAAAGAATTACCAGGCCTTGAAGAAATTCGTAATGTTATTATCAAGTGGGTAAAATATATTGAAGAAGTTTATGGACCCGATTAATTATTTATTTACTAGATACTTTAGATCATTATAATTATTACAAAAAAAAATAGAATATTATTATTATATATTATGTATAGAATAAAACGTTTTGGTATTTATTATGTAAATAACATTCATATTTATTTATTATACAATAATTCTCACATATAAAAGACAAATTAAAAAAATCTATTCACCTGTTATCAATGTTGCTGAATTCACCTTTTTTAAATATCGCATTAAACATACGTTCAGGATCCTTCTTCATTTCTTTTTTATATTTGATAGATATCTGGGTAACGGTATAACCCAGTTTATGTGCTATTATAATATAATTTGTACCGTACAATGCAATCATCTATTGAATTGATAAATATTAATAATATTTTAATTATAAAATTATTACTATATTATTCTCATCAAGAGCATTTATTTACCTTATAAAAAGTTTCAGTATTTTTTAATGTCCAATGTATTTTATCAACCTTTGGAGATCTCGCAGTATTACATAAAGAAGCATGATTATCTTCTTCTAAAACATTCAATTGATCATACTCCTTAGCTGCCAAAGGTGCCAAGATATTCAACCTATCTTTGAATGATTTGTAATTTCTTTGCTTATTTGAACAGTATTTTTTATTTCTATACATATTTAATTAGGAGTAGCATAGTGTACATTCGTTTTATCACATGTGACAAAATCGATCGTTGGTTGATCTTTTTTATGTTGTAAAACATGTGACTTCAATTGAGTTTAGAATAGCGTGGCTGCGCACAAAAACTTTTTAACCTGAGATGTATTTTTTTAACGTGTGTATTTTGCTCTCTATGTTCCCAGTAATGTGTTATATTTCAAGCTTTTAGTGATCAACGTAAGTATATTGTAAGACATTCTAGGCCATATCCACCAATTTCTGCAACATTTTAGGGCACATTTATAAAAATTTCTAAGGGGTTACTAGAATTAGAAGCTAATTTCACCCCATTATAATTTCACTTTTGTTTAGATTTTTAAATTTTATTAAAATAATCATTTTAATGTCAAAGAAAAAATCAATAATAATCAATGTTCAATTTCTTTTGTCTGTTTTGCATTCATTCATTATTTAGGAAATGTTATAGTATATACAGAATATATCTCAAATTAAAATCCCTATTTTAAATTGTGGTTTTTATTTATTTATTTTCCTAATACTACATACAGTAGTTTAAAATCCTATGTTTAGCTTTGGAGTTTGATTTTCAAGTAATTAGTTACTTAAATTCGAAAAATACCACCATCCAACAAAACAATTGATAAATATGCAAAGAATGTTATAAAGATCTTTTATACTTGGCTTTATTGATGATTTATTTAATAGAATCATCCTCATGTCTTGATTTTTGCACTATAATATATATATATATATATCAAAGATTAAAATAAAAACTAATAATAACAGATAAAAAGAATTTAATATTAACAATATTACATCAATATCAAGAGAAATTTCCGTTTTTTTTCAGACCCTATTTCCAGCCCTGATACTAATACGTGTAACAGATTTTACAGGGATCATAACAAAGGTTTTGCTTTTTTTTTAAACACGAAAAAATCAAAGAATTTTAAAAAATGATTAATCAATTAATAAATTGTAATATCGACGACAGTAATATTATTAAAGACGATACTGAAAATATTAAAGAAGATAAAGATAATATTAAAGATAGCAGGAATATCAAAGATAACAATGAAAATATTATCGACAATATCATTAATAATGACAAAGTTGATAACATTAATAAAGATAATAACGATGATATTGATAACTCCAACATCAATAATAATAATGAGAATAATATTATTATTACTAAAGATATTAACAATAATAACGAAAATAATAATATCAACAGTAATGACGAGGATGTCAAAAACGACAATAATAAGGACAATACTAATAACGCTAATGCTAATAACAGCGAAGATAATAATAATATCAATAATCGTAACAAAAATGATAATAATATGAATTCTCCAATTTCAATAACATCTTCACCAGCATCAATTATTTCTATCCCATCCTCACTAGATGAAATTACTTCAACAACAATCCAACGAGTTTTCTCATCACCAGAAGTAAAAGAAGTTCTAACGACACCAGAATTATTATTACATATATTTTCATTTGTGCCTGTTCCAGCTTTAATAAATAATTGTCGTCTCGTATCTAGATTTTGGTGCCGTATTGTTAACATACCACCGAAAATTATTGCTCACATCAATTCACTTAAAAAAACTAAAATTTATATTCTTGCAAAAACTACAGTATATGATCATAGTACTAGTGTTAGCGTTGTGGGAGCATATACTAATGAAACTAGAGCAACAAATCAATTAATTCGTAATTATATTGATGAAGTTATTAGTTATGCACCTCAGTATAGTCCTGATGGCTACTCATCCGATGGTTTTGATGGCTCTGTTGGCTTTGTTGGTGGTGATGAAGTTAGATCAACTGGGAAAAGAGATGGACTAGGTAGGGAAGGATTAGTTTGGGAATTGAAAAGCATTACATTGGATACAAAAGTTGAAGTTGTAGAAGAAAAGGATTATGATGATGAGGATTATGAATATTTATGGGAGTAAGATTAATATTGGTGATTAATAGTAGTAACGGTAATAATGTTCACATTTGATTTTGTAAAGCTTGATAATATACATGTAGGTAATGTTTTTTTTCATATACAATAAATTTTGCTGTAATGATTCTGTAATACACAATGGAAGGGTTAAACTTGTGTCTTCTATTGATAAATAATAAATGGTTTAAAGAAGTTGAGTAAGAATCTCCATTAACAAATATACCTTAGGGCATTGGTTGACAGTATTAGTTTCTTACCTCTGGGACTAAAGCTCCATCATATAGAATCAATCACCTTCTATTAAATTAAATTATTTACTCTCTAAATCACGTGATATTTATTTATGTCAATGATTTACAATTTACTTTGCACGCATTTTATTAAAGAAATTTAAAATTTAAAATTAAATAATTTTTTGCTTAAATAATAATAATCCTATATAGAACCCAAATCATTATTTACCAGATTTGGAACTTTTGAAAAAAGCATTCAAGTTTTTGCTAGCGAAATCCGAAGTTGAAATAGTAATTCGAAATTCCAAATCCAATTCAAAACAAAATCATTCAATCCCTTTTGATTATTATTAGACAAACTCCTTATTCCAAGAACATTTGAAGGATTAGAATTTGTCAAAGAACCTGTTTCATCCAAAAAATTATCATTTTGATATTTATGTAAGATAAATTGTTTTGTTTCAATAGGTGGACTTTGACATCTGTTTGCTAATGTTTTTGTTCCAATTATACAGATGGAATCGTGCTTGCCAGAATACCTTTATTAAAATGTGCCCAAAAAATGCCGGAGGTCTTCCAGCACTCTTAGAAAGACTTCAAGAATCAATATTGCTCGATATAACTTAAAAGCAATACATTTTTTTTAGAAAATTTTAATTGGTTGAAATCGAAATGTTTGGAACCATGATTATCGAAATCGATACCTATTTATGTTGACACTGAAAATTGGAAATTTTTTTTTGCCCTTGTGCTAACTAGTGAGTGAGATTATAATAACTAGAAGATACAAGAGACATTTACATTATCAAGAAAGAAGACATTATCACTTTCTTTCTTTCCATTCTTTATTTATCATTCCATCTAACAGTTGACATATGAAAACAAGGCCTTATACCATTACTACTATATTAATATTATTATTAACCTTTTAACAATTAACGAATTAGTAAAATCTGGGATCGAATACCATCAAATTAATTGAATTTTACTCGACAAATTTCTCTCAAGTTTATTTATTATATATGCAACTGTAAATTTAAAATTGTACTGTGTTATATTAACGCAAGCAAAAGTTTTAGATTTCTTTATTATTTATACTATCAATTTAAAAATATCATCTAGAATTATCATAAAAATTATTTGAAAAAAAAAAGGCAAAAGCATTTCGTAAATTTCGATCACATATTAAGCTCTACGGGTATGTGGATTCTAACAAATGAGGTTACTAGTAGCAAAATAACCATGTTCAAGAACTTAGGATAACTAACAATATTAAAGGCTATGATCTTTATTAAATCTTTTTGATTTTTTTTTTTAAAAATAAATAATAGATAATACTTTTAATTTTTCAAATTATATATAATAGCATATTTATTTTTTATTTGTAGCTTCTAATTCATCAAGTTCTTTCCATATTTTCTGGTAATTCTTACGAACTTCTCTTGATCTTTCAGCACTTTTTAATCTTTTCTCTTCAAACTTTTTATTTTTTGTTTTATATAATATATATGAAAATTTTTTATTAAATTAACAACAATTACACGCATTTCTCACAGATTATATAATAATAATATTGTTATTTCCATTACCTCAGCTGATAAACATGCATTTAATTCTCTTTTAAGTGAATTACACCTACCAAATATTCTATTAAAAAAACTTGCCCTATGGCATTCTTCAAATCTTAAGATTATATCAAGACATTCTAGAAGAAAATTATTGAAGTTAATCATGATTTTTGTTTTGACGAATTAAGTTTTTAGAAAAAATCAACATTAAAAAAGCTTACTTGGATGTTCATGGTATGCTAAATTTGGATGCATGCTTTATTGATGGTATTAATTTTGATTTTTTTTGATTTTTTGAAAAAAAATTTTGTATGCGTCACACACAATTTTGTTACTACGGATTAAGAGCAAAAAATTTTCTTAAATGAAATAATGATTTTAGATAACAGTAGTAGTAGTAAATGTTTGGGATATACTAAAATTTTTAGATAATTTTATTGAAAATTTTTCAATTGCTACTAATGCATTCATTGGGTACACAAAAAGGAAGCTCGAAAGCATCAAAAGATTCAGCAAGTTAAATAGAAAATTGACAAAAAAATGTAACTTCCATCACTTTTATTTTCATCTTCATTCTTTCATTTTCTCCGTCTTTCTCTATTGTCTGACGGCATCATTATCCACCTGCCAATCAAAAATTTCGCTTGCAAAATTCCTTTGGCCCGATGCTATCAATTACATCACAATAGATTATTACTTGGAAATGGTGCAAACGAATTAATTGATTTGGTTGTAAGTTTGCGTCTAAAGGTACTTGGAAACCTGGGACGTTCAAATATACACATTAAAATATATAGGCGTGGATGTATGCGCGCGCGCGCATGTCTATGTGTTTATATATATATCGTAACGATAATTCATTATTATTATTATTAATGATCGTTTCATTAGTATAAAGAATAAGAGTGTGATGTGTGTTTATATTATGTATTAATTATATAACTATTTATAATAACAATTAAAACACTACCAACCAACAATAACTACACACCATCCTCGATATTTTCTTTAATCCATTTTTTCAATTCTTCAACATTTTATAATCGCCTGTAGGATTAAATGGATTTACAATACATGTAAGTGTGGCATGCTTAACATCATTAGATTATACGTCCTTTGGTTTCTGCTGATCCTTGGTACTTTTACACATTTGCAAAATAGATGAATCAATGCAACCTTGGTTATCAGAAAATTTTCGATCAAATTCACTTACTTCACAATACGAGTTTCTTTCAACATTTATTGAAACCAATAAAGTATCCGCTTATATTATACATTCGCTAAACCTTGGTCATGTGCAGGGTTGAGATGGATCAGTAGAGTATCCTACATCAAAACATTGTAATTATCTCAAGTACCATGGAGCGTCAATACACCGGCACTTACATTCCTGTACAATATAGCGGAGGATCAAACACATATGAAAAATACACGAAACTTACACCAAAATGGCGTTTGGAATTAATCAAATCCTTTGATAGAAGTGGTAAAAAAAAAAATCAATCAATAATAATAAACGAAATAATCCTGATGGTGATGACATTTTATGGCAAGGAGTTTTTATCATTCATATGCGAACAATTGAAATTGCCGAGAATGCAGTAAATAAAGTCAAGTTATGCGTGTACCTGTAAGAAGTGGCCAACCTGGTTATAATCGGCCCACTTTTATTAGGATTGCTGTTAGAGAACCATCCAAAGTAGATGTTCGAATTAAAGCTTGGGAACAATTGTGTCATGAATAATTATCTATTAATTTATAATTTAAATTTTGAATTGGGCAAATATATATATATATATTATTATTTACATAACACACAACAGAATCGCTTGCTTGTTATGGCCAAAGTAGACTTCTCAAAATTTCTTATTCGCCATCATGTAGCACGCACGACATATTAATATTCAATTTCGCGAAATCTTGTCTCACGTATTAATTGATTACATAGAATCACAAGGGGAGGGGCTAGCCCTTATTACCAACTCTTTTCCCAGTGTTGACGCGTTAATACCTTTGTGCAAAATGTATATAAAGAGGAAGATTTTTGGAAAGAAGTAGGAATTCGGTTCAGAATGAGATTCGAACTAATAAAATAGTCTACTCTTAAATTTATTTTAATAAAAAGTTTAGCAAGCAAGGCCTTGTTTACATTGATTGAGGGAGACTAATTATCTGCAAAACTTTCATACCGTTTCGCATGCTCTAATTCCAAATTCGTATTTTTTTTTTGTACTCCATATAGTTTTTTTCTTTAAAATAAATACCTCTTTATCATGTCACAAAAAAAAATTATATATGCTCTTTTCAATTATATTTTCTTCATTTCCTTTTTCAAATATATAATTAATTATTTTTCAACCCCTATTTTTATCATTCTCACCCACGTTCTTCTTTTACAGATTCTTATATATATTTATATTTGCACGTTTTAATATAGAAGCTCAAATTCTAATATATATATATATATATATATATACATACATACACCATTATAATATGGGTGATAGATATATAAAGATTGAAGAAGTTGGAGAAGGTTAGTATTTTTTTTAACAAATATAAAATCCACAAACAATGAATAATTAATTCCTTACTATTATTATTATTTTTTATAATAATAAAATAAATAAAAAAGGAACATTTGGTGTGGTATATAGAGGTAGAGATAAAAAAACAGGACGTGTTGTTGCATTAAAAAAATTTCATATGCGAAATCAGTTTGATGGTGGTGGTATGCCCGCCATACCCTATACAGCTGTTAGAGAAATATCAATATTAAAAAGAATTAATAACAAGAACATTGTAAAGTAAGGTGTTCTTTTTTTTGGGGAGGAATTTTTATGTTTAGTGGATGATGTTGTTGATTAATTTGATTTTGTTAAAATCTTTAAGTTATTGTTATTAGTTATTAATTATATAATTGATAGATTATTGGATACAGTTCAATCTGAAAATAATATATATTTAGTATTTGAATATCTTGAAACTGACTTAAAGAAATATATAAAAAATAATAACGGTTTATCGGAAATAATTGTCAAAGTAATCAATTAATCAATTCAACTAATTTAGAAATCCTATCAATTAATCAATTAATCAATTAAACACTTTCACTCTCAATTATTATTAAAGAAATTTTTGTGGCAATTAATGAATGGCGTTTGTTTTTGTCATTCGCATCGAATTCTCCATCAAGACTTGAAACCGCATAACTTGTTGATTGATTCTAATGGGAATTTAAAATTAGCTGATTTTGGATCAGCAAGAGTATGTAGTCTTCCAATAAAAGCTCATACTCATGAGGTAACATTTGATTATCTATATATATATCAATCAATTGTCTGATTCACGAATAATAAATCCTAATTATTGTAATTATTATTATTATTGTAGGTTGTAACTTTATGGTACAGAGCACCTGAAATACTTCTCGGATGTCAACAATATTCAACTGGTGTAGATATTTGGAGTGTAGCCTGTATATTTGCTGAAATGTTTTTGAATGATGCTTTATTCAGAGGTATATATATTTTGGTAATGATGATGGTGATAGAAAAGAAAAAATTTGCTAATTATAAGAAAATAATTTTCTAGGTGGCAGTGGAATAGACCAACTTTTTAAAATATTTAGGTATTTTATTTATATAGATTTTTATTATATATTATAAATTGACTAAAATGGTTTTTTCCCACGCCACACAAAACAAGTTTACTTGGTACACCAAATGAAAATACATGGCCTGGAGTTTCAAACTTGCAAAATTATAAAGTAAATTTCCCTAACTGGGTAGCAAAATCATTAAAATCACGTATTCCAAACCTGGACTATGAAGCAATCGATTTATTAGAGGTACTTATATATATACATATACATATATATACACTAAAATACGGATCAATAATTTATATAATTTTTTTCAATATACATATATAGAATATGTTTGTTTATGAACCTAGTAAACGAATTTCAGCAAAATTGGCATTATATCATCCATATTTCGATAATTACAATCAACGAAAACGTATAATATATTAATCTCGTTATTTTATATATATTAATATTATGTATTAAAAAAATAGAATATTTTTTTAATATTAATATGGATTATTAATTTATATAGTGATAAAGAGGATGGAAATATTAGTATTTGTTTGTAGTTATTAAAAAGAAAAAGAAAATCTTTAATCAAAACATTTCTTTACTTTCCGTCTATGAGTGAGCAAGTCGTACGGTGCAGGTCACTCTAACACATCAAATTCAAGCAAAAATTTTTTTATCACTTTACAAAAATGACATTTTTAATTTTTATCACGTGACTTCCCAAAAATGCATTTATATTAATTCATCAATTTCTTCCACAACATCATCTGGAAACTTTCTGAGACTTATGTTTTTTTTACAATATATTTAGCCTGTAACACTGTTAAACCTTTCCTGTAACAGTCCATAAATTTTGCAGCCCTTGTATATTTTCCAATTCGTTTCAATGGTATAGAATCAAAGGCTCTGGGAACATTCTCTTGAAGACCTTTCCATGTGTAATTACAATGTTGCCTAACATACCATTTAGCAGCCCCCCAATACATTTCAATGTAGTTAAGCTCACAATGAAATTTTGGATAGAAGATGATCTTATGACCCCTTGCTTCAATTAATTCTTGAAGTAAGGGTTTTTTGCTTTTAAAATCATCTTGGGTTGCTAAGATATGTCTAGCACAACAAGTTAAAGGTTCTTCAAAAGAAACTTATAAGAAAATAATAACAAAAGATGATTATTTTTATATTTTGATAATTGTAATATAATTATATTATGCATAATAAACTGACCATTTTTTTTACAGAATGCTTTTAGGCCAGTCCTCCAAAATCCTCTTTCCTCCAAAATCATCTTCATTCCTTTTGGTTTTCCATGCAATTTTTCTACATGAAAATCATCTGGGAATACCATTTGTTGAACTTTACCATCAAAAATAGTATCCCTCATGGTTGGTTGTCCCCCTGCAGGGTTTAGATTCATTGTAAATGCATTCAATGCATCATCTGCCACTTTAGCATGACTTGATGAATGATCAAATGCAAATACTGCAATCCTATTAGGATGTGTTAGTTCAAAAATTGGTATGGCCTTGTTAACAATCTAAAAATAATAAATCTAGTTAATTATTGATTATCCTTTATCTTGATATTGATCTTTTTTTTCTTGATTTATTAGCTGTTCAAGATTCCACTAGCCATATGCATTCTTTCCGGGACATATGATGACTTGAGTATCATGAGGAAAGTTCTAATTTTTGTTCATCTGATAATTTAAGTCTACCAATTGTTTCAGTTAAAAAGTTGCTTACATACATTGTTCTCCCTTGACCTTTCTTTCTCAGTGGTTGTTCATTCCTTGGTCTCCAGCATGATTTTTCATCATCATTAGATTGGAATGTTGTTTCATCCTGTGTTACTAATACGTGTATCTTTTCATCTTCTTCCAATTCAGGGTTAATTTGAATTTCCAAGTCATCACCAGTAAATTTTAAATTTACGTGATTTTTATAGGTCATATGTTGTGACTAGAATTAGAAAATTCTGCCATGTACATATAACATAAGTTGGGTCAAAACTATATGTTTCAAATTTGGAAAATTTTATATGTAACATATAAAAATCACATGATTTTTAAAAGCTAATAACTCCAGAACCAATAATTTTTTAAAAATATCTAGACGATAGATTGTAGAACTAGTCAAAAGCTATCAAATATCGTCTCAATTTTTTTCAGACAAGCACCTATATTTCCTTATTAGGCTTCAAAGTTGATAAATTTTTAGTGTGACCCGCACTATACAAAGTAAAAAGTTGATACGGTGCAGATCATCTATACTCAAAAGTTAAAAAATTTGAAATATCATGTGATCCACATGTCAGATTTTAAAAAAAATACCACCATTCAGCTCAGCTTTAAAAAAGGAGTCGATTTATGTAAAAAAAAATTTGTCTCAATTTTCAAATTTGGGAGTTACGTTCAGAAATGCAATAATATTTTTTTGTGTTACCACCTTTACCGCACCACACTGTTACACCGAAAATCCTTTTTAGTATAAGATAACCATATTCAAAAAATTTAATATCGTATATATATAGCTTAAGGCTTATTTAATTAAAAAAAAAACTAAAATTTGTCCAAAAGTTTTTTCCCAAAAATATTTGACAAAAACATCAATCATACTTAATAACCATGCCTGGTGATTCTTTAAACATAGTGAAATCTCCAGTTTATATAAAAATAATGTACCAAAATCACAAAATAATAATAACTAAAATGGAATGGTTGGTGTTCATAAAGGGCAATCAGTGGCTTGTACTATTCAAAAATACATTGATATTTTCACAAAAAATCAAAAAGAATGGGTAAAGAAAGATTGAGTATATATGCCAAGGAGAATTGAAGCAATTATTGAAAATAATGAGTGGCCAATGAAATATTGAATCAATTATTACTTTTTAAATTTTCAGTATTATTATACGCATTTTTCAACTGTTTTTTTTTTTTTTGAAAATTTTGGTTGAAATTTATAGATTTAGTTTAATAAAAATGTTAGAGATGTGAAATTTTCCACATATAATTTAAAGAATCTAAATTGCAAAATGGTAGTTTTTATTTAATTATTATTAAGTATATTCTTTGTTTAAAAGCTTTTGTCCATGCACTTTTTTAACAATTCCACAAAAGACTACATAATAAAAATCAAACCAATAAAAACATTTGGTAGTTTAGATTCTTGTAAACATACATGCAAAATTTGATTTTTCTACCATGTTTATTAAATTGATGGTTAAAGAAATAAAGCTTCATCTAAAATTTTTTGGCAAAAAAATACCATTGAAGCTGACATTTAAAATTTTTTTGAAGAATTTATTTATTAAAAATAATGTTTGTTTATTCAAGGTTTCAGATGTGATTATTATGTATGCTTTTGTTTAATTAATTTTTTTGAAGTGAGAAATATTTGGAAAAAATTTTTGATTAATGTTTTTATTTTTATTTTTTTATTATATATCCATTGGTGTTAGAGGGAATAAATTTTGTATATATATTCATAAGGATCTA